TTATTTATTGTTATGAAATTATTATTTTTTGATTTTTTTTTTTTTAAGAGAGGAAAAAACGGAAAAAAAGAGAATCAAAAGAATTCTTTCCCTACTGTTATTGTAATTTTAAAATGATGAAGAAAATCGTTCATAAAAAAATTCCGAATTAACGCTAGCGTATGGTATTGTTGTTTATTTTCTGATGTATGATAGCTAAAATACCTGAGGGCTGAGGCTTTCATGGTGAACAAAAAATTAAATTCGATCGTTTAAAATTGGGTTCTTTGTCCAGATTCTGTTCTTTGTTTCTCAGCTCAACAACAGCATTGCTGCATTTTAAGTGTGATGCCTCAAAATATTAAATCTGAAGTACCCGCATTTTTGCTGAGTACTGTACGGGGCGTTCAGCTAACCCAAGATAGTTTCGGTCAATTAAACACATGTCAAAAAACTTAATATAAAACAGAAAGCGTGAGTGGAATATCCAACGGTGAAACTGCCATTAGTTTTTTGCACTTTTTGGCCTCCGAATAGAAGGCTACTGCTTTTGAACACTATTACAATTCGCCGTGACTGTTTATGGGAAAAACTGGGAATACAATCAGGCTACCTCGTTTTCCAAAGTGTTCTTAGGCAGTCAAATTACATTATATGATCTCTGGCACAAAAAAATTCGACTGATTTATTCCTCTAACAATGCCGCTATTCAATATAAGTCCTTAATTCGGTTCCATTAGGTTGAAAATGTTTTTTACTCAGTCTGAATCCCAATCGATGGAAGTGTAAATAATCAATTTTACAATTGGATGGGTTGAATGGTTGTTTAACAGTGATGGGTAGTAAAAAGGAAACAACTCAATAATAAAAAATTCTTTCTTCAATGGTCAGTTTTACAGTGGCCAAATCACTGGTGCCTGCATATTCCTTCATTTGTATAGCTACATTAAAAAAAAATTCAGATGATTGAGGAATCAAAAGTTATACGTGCTGTCAAAATTAACAATACGTTCATCTTTGTACCATTCTGCTGTGCGACTATAGTCGTTATCATTTCTTCAAATATACTAATATAGTTCAGTTAAAGCAGCAATAATTTTCTGTAATAGCGGTGAGTTTTGCTACAGCAAGTTTTCACCCAGAAAATTTGTTACCGGAAATTGTATACGACCCATTTTAGAATAGTTCGTTGTACCATAGTAATTTCGAAAAGTGTGATAATTAAACGACATGTTTACAGTAAAAAGTTCGTTTTTTTTCTCTTTTCGTACACTAGACTAAGTACACTGGCTAAGTCCTGTTACTATATTACCTGAAAAAATTACTACAGACTTGCAATGATTACAAAACTGTATGTCAAAATAAATGCAAACAACAATTTTTTTTACCTAATTACGAACTACGATCTGTACAGTTTTGATGTGCAGTTTTTACAGAAAATATATGCTTTAAAAAATTATTAAAACTTGTCTAAGAAGTTGATAGCAACATGAATGTGTAAATAAATTACCCTGAAAATAATCTACTATAAAAAAAGGAAAAATTGTTAACTAGAGAAAAAATAGAAAAAAAAA